TGGCCATATAGATGGGTTTCTATTTATAACTGAAGATAATAGTTTTCACTTTTCGCAATTCTATGTAAGGAGATCCTTCACGATCATCATTATCAATATTATCAAAATTTGTTTTGGTATTCATCTTCGTCTGGTTCGCTACTTGAACTCCCTAGATCGAATTCTGGTGACTTCTTTCTTGAGGTCTGCATTATTGTTTAGTTTGACCCTGACAGAGATCGATATCTGTATGCCCTTTATTATTATTATTATTATCCCATTAAATATTCACCACTTTATGGGGTAAGGACTTCCATGTACCCGAGACAGACCTGCTCCCTAAGGTACATAGGGCAGCAGCTATTTCCGAGATACATTTTGTTTTTAATATGTATTACATATATTATATAATATTATTTTACGACAGCGTCTTTCGAATGATGTATGAAGTTATTATTATTATTATTATTATCTAGTTTGGATCTAATTTGGTTATTTGTTTTAATTTGAGTTTTGTTTTTATTTTGTTCCTTGTATTAATATTAATATTTTATTAATGTTTTACATTTATACTAGTGCTTACCTAGGTAGATTATTTTCTTTTTATCAAATTTCTATCTTTGTATTAGTGTTTGCCTGTCATAGGCTCTTTGCTGTTGGCAAACACTTAACAAAGTAATTTAACTATTATTATTATTATTATTTAGTATTATTTATTTTATTCAGAATTATTAAATTTAATTATATTACTTAGGTATCGTATTTACCCCATTTATTTGTGAAATATGATTCAATAAATGAATCTAATTATTATTATTATTAATATGATCCATTTATATATTTAGTTTCATTTTTTGTTTGTTTTACTTTTATTATTATTGAAATAAATTAATTAGTTATTATATTTTATCCTATACTCTGGTTTAGTGCTTGGCTGTTATCAAGCACTTAAGTAATTGAATTGAATGGAATTGAATTATTGCAGTGACGGTCAATACAAATACCACAGAAGTGACAAGAAATTCTTTTACAGGCCAGTAGGGAGACTGGTTCAAAAATAAATCTCTAAACAGATCATTTTTGTCAGTATTGAAAAGACGATGAGAACGAAGTATAGAACATAAAATTTGGTGTTGCGAAAAACATTTTTCACCGAAACTAGAATTTGATTTTCTCTCCCTGTTGAAGGCATAATTATTTATAGTTCGCTGTTCTGTGTATGGAAAGGAGCGCTGTTTTATCTGCATCGCCTCCCGCCGTCGCTTGTCTCAGACATCTCAAAAGAAAAGGACGCCTCTTCCGTCAGCGAAACACGACGTTGCCCTACTGGAGGCTTCACTCCAAGTCATGATTCCTAATTACGCGTGGCGTTGATGACGTTCTCGTGTTATCTCGCTTAAAGCGAGAAGATCCTTGTTTTCATTTGCGGAAGTTCGTAACGTCGTAATACTTTGTTACTGGACAGGGCTTCGATATCTCGTAATGGTGATCACGGTTAAATAAATGATTCGTTCTTACAATGCACAGAAGAATATTGTTCTTTCGGAGATCATACGCCGGATTTAACTGCTTCAGCGTTGTGTTGGGTATTTGAATAGTTATTTGTAAATTAAAATTAAATTATTTGGTTATTCCGTCAAATCACAATGTATTTAAAATAAGAATAATTAAAATAATTAAAATATCATTCTGTGTTCCATATCGAATAATCGATTTACAA